CCTACTTATATGAATGGAAAAAAAATTCTGTTAAATATTATCAATAATAAAAGATAATGCTCTCATGACTTTTATTTGGCATACAAATTACTTAAATTTAACTTACTTAATCAAATTTACTGAAAATTAGACCTATTCTAATTCAAATAAATATGAATAAATAATAGAATAGTAATAATAATAAGACAAGCACACTTAGTCCAAGACTGACAAAGCAAGACAGTGACAATATTCAATTGTCAAAAGCAATATGAAAACAAACTTATCAGATTAAAAATGATAGATAGTAGGTGTATTATGTTTGAAAAATTGTACAAGTCATTCTTCATAAGTGTTCATAATTTAGTAAACTCACTCCACAACACAAGGATAACTAGTACTAGTACAGATGTCTTGAGAGTAAACATATAATATTATAATGTTTTAATTTAATACTTAGTTTCCAACGTGGTTTAGAACACGTCACCTTATTGTCCTAATACTCAATATGGGGATTCCCTGTTCAGTTTTTTCCTTCTGGGGTCTTCGCCTCACTAAGACTAAGTAGTCACCACTCAGGCCTCAAGCCGCGGCGACACTTTGACTTTACTTTTCAGGCAATAAATTATTTAGTACATCTCCATGTCCATGTTACAAGCCGGAATACCTTATCGTCTCGTTCATTTTTGAAATAATATACACTTCGTGAAAAACTCTAAGTAGAAATAAACAATGCTCTTAATTTCAGCCCTGGTCCCTAGTCCTGGTACTCTAAAGTCTGCAATACATAGAAGACAGACGAGAACCCAACTCTGCCAACTGCCAACTCTGTAGACTAGTCTGCAACCAAGTTGCCAAGTTACTGTCGAGACTCCAGCCTGATTATTCTTCAAGCTGTCGAGACTCCAGCCTGATTATTCTTCAAGTTCTTTGGAATCAAATTACTTTAGCGAAGAACAAAAAGTATATATTAAAATGTTCGTCTTAACAAGCGGTCGGAAAAATTAAAATGTACTAAATGATAACACTAACACGTCATACCAAGAAGTAGATTACAGTTACTAGAGTTACTAATATTAAAGGAGGGGTTTGCATTGTTACTATGAATAGCAATGTTTGTAAACTTCCGTTTAACTGTTTGACGTGGAGGTAAGCGAAAGCTGCACATATTAGTTTCGAAACTTTCACATTTAGTAGCTTTTTAAGGGAAAAAATGTTAATAAGCCCTCATGAGATGACTTTACTGGCAAAGAGTTTGCATTTTACAGTTGTTTAAAAGGTTTTCGTAACAAACATTTTACAAATCTTTAGATGTCTCGGTCAAAAAAGACAATTTGAATTTGGTAATCGAAGATGATGCAATATTAACATTGACACTGCTATACGCCCTACCTCTCCCGTAAAAAACAAAATTTCCATCTGGGTTTTTTTCCCGTAAAAATAAAATTAGATACGGACGCTACAGATGTAAATGTAACAGAGTCAATTACGCGCTATTACCAGTCGCGTCACGCGGGAGGTGGTGGGTGAGGACCGCACTCGCACCGGGTGACACCCTTACACAAATAAAATACAGGGGAGTGTCACCCATTGGAAAAAGCAAAATTTGACTCGCTATAACAGAAATCTTTTGAATACCAGTACACGGCGCCACCAAAAAAGCGTCTCACAAGAGCAGGGTGCCACCTGAACAGAGTGCCATCATAGTAGGGAGCCACCAGAGCAGGGTACCATCAGCTTAGGTTGCAAACAGGGCCGGCTCAATGTGGGTACGATGCGTGATCATCACACAGGCGCCAAGGGGCCATCCATTAATGACGTCACGCGTCTAGAGGGGGGAGGGGGTCAGATTTTTTTGACGATGTGTGACGAGGGGGGAGCCTCAAGCCATGTGACGTCACATGAAAAGCATAGTGTTGTAGTAAAGAATTTCACTTCATAACACTGAATGACAGACAATTTTTGTACATCATTAAAAAAAAAAACAACAACTATAAATATTTCATTCTAAAAATACTATCACTGAGAGCATCAGTGCGAGGTCCGAAGAATGGCCTCAGATCAAGTTACAGGACGCCCAGCAGTAGGAGAGTCGGAATGTAGTTACAATGACAGTCGTGAGACTGTATGGCTAAATCTGGACAGGAGAAGTGGGATGGAGCGGGAAAAAAAGGTTGACCGCGGGGTAGTGGGAAGAGGGGGGTGTATCTTAGTAAAAGCTCAAGAGCAGCGATTCTTAATCTTTTTTTTTTTTTTTTTTTTGCAGCGTTGCAGGCCGCCTCCCTTTTTCAAATACCCCCCCCCCCAACCGTATAAATTACATTATTATAAAATTTTATTTCTTTAATTAACTTTTTATAAACAGGGGAAAAAATTGCCAATACACACAATGCGCCAATGAAATTCACCATTTACTGCTGCTAATCAAAATCCATTAATTTTTTATTTTATTATTTTTTTTTTTTATAAGCAGCAACAACTTGCAATAGCAGCAAATAGAATCAGTGGCGTAGCTAGGGTTGGTACCACCCGGTCCGGTAAGCTCGTGGTGTCAACCCCTCCCCCTTTTTTTAACGATGTATTTCTTCTTGTTAAACTTAGTCCAAAGTATAAGAAATACAAGAACAACAAAAAATAAATTAATTGAACGTCAGGGGGTAAATGTATTTAAGAACTGCAGCGTTTTTAGAATCGCCCACTGTTATCAAAGGATAGTTTTATTTCTCAGACTTTAGATAAAATAGCTTCCTGCCGCTTACAAAAATTTCCGAACACTTCATTCGGCTATGAAACATGGTCAAATAGTGTGTTTCTGACCTAATACAGTAATAGGGTAACCTATTTGCTGACGCATCAACCTTGAAATTTTAATATTAACGAAATAAACACGCATTTTGATTGGTTACATGGGTGGAAAATGTACGAGTCATCTGTTATCCTTTAACGAATTTCGGTTAGACCCATCAGTGTGTGCTCTGTGATAACGCTATCTTTCAATTTGGTGTCACCCACTGAGTCTGTCTGAGATGGTGTCGGGCGGTGCGGTCCGCACCCCCCTAGCTAAGCCACTGAATACAATTTTTTTGGTTTCCCACACCTTAAGGCTGGGGAGGTACTTGTACCCCTGTTAAAGAACCACTGATCTAGTGAAATGTTTCTGACACGGGTGCAGTAATTTGATATCCATGGGAGGTGAATTTCTGAAGGGTTTGTAAAGGACAATAGTGGACACAGGGACTTTAAAAAAAAAAAGGGGGGGGGTGCAGAGATTTGTGACGTTATATTTTTTGTTATATTTTTAGGGGGGGGGGGTCTAACTTTTTGTGACGATTTGTGACGATGGGGTGGGGGGGGGGTAAAAAATCGGCAAAATTTGCGTGACTTCATTTATGGATGGCCCCGAAGGGAAAAAAATTGTTATAATAAAAATAAAATAAAATAAAAATATTCTGAACCTTTCCCATAATTTTCCAGAGGCCCTATTTTCACCCAACCTTAAAGCTTTTAATGTCTAGCGTGGCCCTGCAAACAAAACAGGGTCTCAAATGAGCAGTATTTAACCAGAGCAGCCTCCCATCATAGCAGGGTTGGGAATCTCTCCAAATCCTCTCATTAAGCTTACATTTATTGATCACCATCTGTTTCTGTAGCTTCATGTGAGAGAAGCTTTTCAAAACGGAAACTTATAACAAACTATCTATTAACCGTCTACTGTGGAACAGCCTGGGCTTATTAATTTAAATTGATAAGTTGGAGAATGTTGATTTTGATGAAGTGATTGACATATTTTTAACTTTGATGACCAGGAACGTAAAATTTCAGCTCGATAAGTAGACGGGAAGTGGGTCAATTAGCCATCCGAAGATTTTGCATGCCACCCATGGACAAGAGCGAAGTTAATATTATCAAAGGATTTTAAAAAAAGATCTCTTGAAATGTTCGCTTTGAATCGTACTTCCCCATTAGCATTTTGTGCGAATGTATAATGTTTTAACTTAATACATTTCTAATATTCCACCATTTGAAAAAAAAAACTATTCGTCTCTCGTATTTCCTTATTTTTATCCTATGGCAAGACTATTGTTGTTTAAACTTACAACCATCGCCATGTGAGAGATTACGGAGGTTTTAGCCCCTTGGCTGAAACCCAGACCCATGCCTGACTTGCTACCCAACTTAGCAGGGCCGATCTGAAGGGGGCACTTTCCCCGGGCGCCAATATCAGACAAAGACAAGGACGGGGTGGGGGGGGGGGGGCTAAAACAGACGTTTTATTGGTTTCAACCCGGGATAATTTTTTCCTGTATAGAGAGCCTTATGCTGGGTCATTTTCAGTCTCCGCTTCGGGTGCCGCTTTTCATTGGCACGGCCCTGCAACGGATTTTGCAATTTTACATTTTAGAGCTTGTACCATATGTTCTTGTGCCATCCAATTTATGTTTAACTTTTCAGACGCATCCTTCAATTTGCTTTAAGGAAATATGAGGGAAAATTTTTATGCGAAAGCTTGAAAGGAGAGAAAACATTTTTTATGTGAAAGTCTGAAAGGAAAGAATAGCCTACATATTTTTTTTTGGTTGGATTTTCACCAGCTGTTTCAAATAAAGGAAAAAAAAATTGTACACATTATTGATTAGAAGTAAATAATTCATATTTTAGTAAATCATAATTTTGTATTAAGTGAATAAGATAATATTTATTTTAATTAATATAAAAATGAATATTAATAAGTGAGAACAGTGATAAAATTATTAATATATAGTCGTCAATCATTAACACTAAAATGTTTAACAAATAAATGCAATATATTCTAATCAAAAAGAAACATGGCAATATTTATACATATGATAGATGGGTGGGAGTTAATAAACAATGCTCAAAGGGAAATTTTCAATGAGAAATTGATACTATTGATTAGTCTGGGCCTGGGAAATTTTAAATATTCATTCTTTATTTAGCACTTCGTGACCATTTTCTATTTTTTTTTTAATGTTGCATGCTGGGATAACCGAATAAACATTGAGACTTCCGGTTCCTCGAAAACACAACAAGACGTTAATGTTCATATCTTTGTGGAAAATAAAATTAATTTAATAGTTTCAATTGGAACTTTATAAAATTAGTATAGAGTTATGGCGGCGGTTACTTTATCGCCTGGTCCATCTGGTTCTGGTAAGTCTTATATTATTATTTTTTTTTAAAGTCCTAGCCTAATCAGTCGCTAATTTGGCAAATTTTTTGGCCCATTTTAAAAATAAAATTATTATAAATTTAGGCCTGGGCCTTCTATTTTTATTCCATTTTCATTTAGGGCTTTTTATATCTTATATTGTATGATTGTTGAGATTAGTACTATAAATTATGTTGGCTAAAACTGGGTGAGGATGCCACGTCTTTTGCGTGTTTATTTAAGTTGTCGTGAATTAAGGTTCAGGTTAGGTTTAATTTAAGTTTAGTTTAGGGATACAATTTAATTAGGGTTCAGGTTAGGTTTAGGCGTTCAGGTTAGGATTAGGGATACATTTACTTAGATTTAGTGACAGAATTAACTGGTCTTCTCAACTAAGATGGGGGCCAATCATGGCATCCTCTCTCAACATTTACCATTATGACATTATGTTAATTTCATCACTTAGTCATAGTCATTACTAGTACTAGAATTCAGAATTTATAACATGGATTACTATTATTAGTATTAGGTTAATACAGTATGTATTAGGCTAATACAGTATGTATTAGGGTTTCTCTGTAAATTTTGAGTTAACGGTATGGGTTTTGCCAAGAGTTTTCTCACCCTAAGCGCAGTGATGTCCCTTTGGGGGAATCCCAACAGTGGACGTAGAGTGAATAGATCTATTCACTATTCTTTGAAGGATCCGAAGGATTTGTGTTTTAACATTCCCTCATTCTGAAATTCCTGTTCTTTATGGAGCATTACTCGCATCATAAACGATACAGTTAATATGAAGAATATTGAAATGAAATTTTCCATTAATTTGTATTAAAATTCAACTTGCTGTTACTCCAAGACCCAACACCGGTGAAAAAAAGATGCCTGCCAAAATTGCTGCATTTTGATTAGTTGAAATCAAAATACCAGTATGTTGAAACTTAGGTTAAAAACGGCTTACTGCTTAAATTGCATTGGGAATGATCTTCTAGGGACTAGGGAGGAGAGACCCCTCCCCAAACCCTTCCCCTCGCCTTAAATACCATAATAAGAAACATAGAAATTCTCTGGGGAGGAGAGACCCCAGTACCCCTCCACCAATTTAACAAAAATATAAAATAAGAAAAAAATTGTCAATAATTTGCATTATGTAAATACAAACATCGAAATCTTTTTAGTATGGCACTGTAGATAGCGCTGTAGACGGCGCTGTAGACAGAAATGGACCTGGGGGAAATTCCGTGACCTTATATACCGTGGAACACATCGTCCGCCTTACCGCTAACTCAAAATCAGCCGGGTTTCTCAAACGAAAAATTGGATTTTTCCACACGATTTTTTTTTGAAAATCTTGCTGACTGGGATATTTTTCCATCTCAGGTAATCAATCCTGGGTAGAGGTATTTGTAATACAATTTTGAGGAAATCTATGCTCAATGTTTTGCACCGGGATGAGTCAGTTCCCAGCCTTTTGACTTGTTCAGTTTATTCTTGGATTGTTACTAGAGTTCACTTTTCCTTTTTTAAATTATAAATACCCCGATGGAATATTGTAAATTATTATTTAATATTTCATTGGATGGTTAATAATAATATTTAGTAAATGTGTAGTTAATGGCACGGATTTTGCCAAGAGTTGTCTTCCTAAGCGCAGTGTCATCACTATGGACTTGGCTTGACAGGCCCAACAGTTGGACCAGAACGATGAGAATGATAACTTCCAGCTCTCCACTGAGCATTATTTGTGTCAAAAACATAATCTGATGATTGATACAGTTAATTTGAATTTTAATAAAATTCAACTTACAAGCTTCAAAAGAAATAAAAAGAGAAAATCATCCTTGCTGATTCCCCAAATGAACACCAAAATAAAAAAGATACGCTCGTGGTTAAAAGTGCTGTTTTTTATTGGTTGAAACAAAATATGTGTATGCCACTCATTTATTTAATTATGATGTCACAATTTAAGGGGACATTGCAACATAATTTTCTGGGGAGGGGAGACTCCTCCCCCAATTTGAATACAAAAACAAGAAACAAAATAATTTATGGAGAGGGAAGGGAGACAAAAATAAAAAAAAATGATTAAAAAAACAGATCAAATAAATAAAGGGTTCAATTTATATATTATATTTTCAGAAATGAAACTATGGCCGATAGTTGACCTGGAGAAAATCCATGATCTATCTATCATGGTAAAATACCATATGTTCTTGTGCCATCCAATTTATGTTTAACTTTTCAGACGCATCCAGACGATATCTGCATTTTAGCCTAATATTTAAAATGAGATTTAAAACCAGGCTAAATTTTATAGAACACATCAGTAAATTGAAGGAAGGGAGTGATCGGAGATCATTTCATTAAGTGTCAGTTCAAACTATCAAATTATCTTCAAATTTCGCGTCAGATTTGTGTATGAATGCACTATTTTGTGTGTGGTTTCTTTAATTTGTTCAAATAGCAATTTGAAAGTTGTGACAAGGTTTTATACAAAAATTGTATCAAATGCATGATCGAAAATTTGATAGTGTGATTTGACGCTAACACTTCTTGCCACATATCTAGAGGGATACAATAAAGTTGCCATGTTCACCATGAAATGGTGAATACTGGAATAAAGTGTGTAAAATTGTATTCTATGAAACTGTAATTTGCGTTTTCATAATTTTTAAGTGTTTTAGTTGAGGGAAGGGAGCGACCATAGGTTGTTGACACTTCTTGCCACATATTTAGAGGGATACAATAAAGTTTCTACGTTCACCACAAATTAATGTAGTGGCTGAAATTGCGCAAGGAAAGGGGACCTCCATTAAATTTAAATGTTTTGCTCCTATTTTTGTTTCTCTTGGTAAGTAGCAAAAACAACACATTCTCGCTCTTTCCCCTCCCTATTTTAGCAGACATGTGTTAGCATTACATTTTTTGAACAGGTCCGCCATCTTGGTTGCCATAACACATCAACCAAGATGACAGCTGTGGTAGGATAAGGAGAATCGTCTACTGTTATGTATGATAATAAGGGGAGAGACTCCAATCAGGTTAGATATAGGGAAATAAATGAAACAAAGTAAGGAAAACCTGAAAAATATGATGCAACAAAACAACTAACATGTTGATGAGAAGCCTTCTTCAACAAAACAAACAACAGTAAAACAATATAAAAATTAAAATAAACACTTAGCTGCGATGTAGTATCAGAGAGGACAGCAAAAGGATACTACATAAATTGATTGCAATCTGTCCCCCTTATTATCATACAAAGTTTAAAAGTAGTTTGACACAAAAACAGCCTGATGTAATCCAACATCTTTTAACCTGCCTCTGGTGTATTACTGCATTGTCTATGGCCGTTAGGCCTAACACCAATTGTAACATTAGCCATCTTTTTTTGTTTTTGTATAAGAATTAAAAGATGTCAGGAATATTTCATTAATAAGACAGATAATCAACTGGCAGATGGTTTCTGTGAAGATGTACATAATCTTAGCCAAGACCAACAATACCCACATTGTATATTTAGTGAGATATCAGGTTATTGAATCATTTATACCATTCAACGTTTAAAGGTAACATCTGCACCATGTTTACATTGGCAATAAAGTTGCTTTAATCAAACTTTTATTGTCATGAACATTAGCGATTAAAAGAATATAAATATGACAAATTCAATTAAAGAAAAAATTAATTATTTTTTTTATTTTGTAGATGGTAAACAGAGGAAAAGAAAGAATGGACAAGAGTAAGTTTACTGTGATGCTACTCTTATTATAAATAAAATATCTGAGGCATGTTATTTGTATATATTCACTACTCCCTCCATTTGCATGTAAGTTACGGTCACCAATAAACCACAACAAAGAAATTTTATTATGTAAAAAGTAAATTCATTTGTATTTAAAAGTGACAATTTCTGACATTTAATTTTGTTCATTTGAAAGGTCTGATGATGAAGACAGTCAAGGAGGATCATTTGGAAATGGCCCAGAAAGTGCAGACAAAGAGAGGTTTGCCAGGTATTTGTAATCTCATGATTGTAAAGATGGATAATTTTTACAACCACAGGTACAAGGAGTTGGTCTTGGTAAAAGTGATTTATTGAAATGAATTACATCAATATAATATTCTGAAATTTTTTATGTAATGTTAAGTTATATTTTGTTTTGCCCTTATGCACGTAGATCTAACCCTAGAACAGTCAAATGCATTTTTCTGTAGAATCAAGCCATTTTTAGCTTTTTCATGTGCCTGTCAAAAGTGATAAAATCCCATACTACATAAATTCAGAGACCCTTACAAGCATACATTTTCTGAAAGGACATTGTACAAGGTATCTTATTGTATGAAAAGAATTTGTTTTTATATTATGCATGTTGATAATCACCTTGACCTTTACAGACTGAGTTAGAGACTGAGTAAAATTTTACTATTTAACTTCTGCATTCAACCCAACCTGATACTCCATAAATGACTCAAATTATTATAAAATCAAGTTATTGAAATACTAGGATCAATGTTCTTTCAGAAAATGTCAAGTTATAGGTACTTATATTGAACAATTGTATTATTTGTGAATTTTTTTCATTCACTACGTTCAAATTTAAGGCATACATAATACAAAAGAGAAAGCACGAAATGAGTTAAAAAATTTACTTATCAATTTGGAGTTTTATTAATCAATACTCCAGAACATGCACAAACAGAAATATCTTTAAATCTCTTTTGGGTAGGTCTTTGAGATTCAATCTTTTTTGTCTTTACTTTTCTGTTCAATTTCCACCCTTTCCCAAACGAATTTTGTCTGTTACAATACAACTTGGCTTAGGGCTAAAATCAAATTGACTTTTATGTCACCATCACCGCAAGAGTTAATACTGTGGAATATCTTTGCAATCATTGCTTTCATTTTAATCCATTTGAAATAATGCCAATTAAGAAAGTCTGTTTTGATTTTGCAATCCAGAGGGAAAAAAAAATTGAGCCAATTTCACATCTGATTAATCACAAAACAAGCCCTGATGAATCACATTATAACACAGACAGAAATGGAAATATGAAGCAAACTCATTTATAGACAGTATTTCCCCTTAACCAATATAAATCATTCAAATTTTTAATGACGATTTTGCCAGCGGCTGTTACATCAATTAAATGGTTAAAGAAAAGTCTATAATTATTTTTCATTAATGGAAAATGTTGATAAAAAAATAAAATTATCAGCTCAATTAAAACATTTGTAGTTTTAGCAATTAGAAATGGTAATATTTTATTTTTATCTTTGCTTATAACTTTTGTGTTAGATATTTGAGATCATTTTTATATGTTGCTGACGTAGATTTAATTTTTCAGAGAAAGTCACTGTGAAATTGAAAGGAGACGTAGAAACAAAATGACCGCTTACATAAATGAACTTTGTGATATGGTGCCTACTTGTAGTACATTAGCGCGTAAACCAGACAAATTAACTATTTTACGAATGGCGGTTTCTCATATGAAAACATTAAGAGGTAAAGCTTTATTGTATCTTTTTACTTAATTTTGTATAAAACTATGAACTTATTAAATTAACTAATTCAATAAATTTTTACTCACAATAAAGTGAAAAATATATCTGAAAAGAATAAAATTATTTTCTTATTCTTGATTGACTTGTTCCACAAGGCACAGGCAATACAAATAATGATGGTTCATATAGACCTTCATTTCTGACGGATCAAGAACTTAAACATCTTATTTTAGAGGTAATCAGTTCACATTATTTTAATAATAATTTATGACAGTAAGATGTGGGTTCTATTCTGATTCTTCTCTCTAAGAAATGCAAATAATTTTTTTTTTTACTATTAGGATTTATTGTAACATAACTTGCTAAGATTTTAAATATTTGATGTGATTCTATTTTTAAATGATATCACTAATAACAGAAGCTAAATGATAAAAAAAAAATTTTTAATAACTCTAATCAAGATACTTTTGCTTTCAGAACATAAAATAATGAATGAGATTGCCTTTTGTGCTGCAAATTGTTTTTGAGAACTTGAATAAAATATGTTGACCGTAGTTGATACAACATTTATGCCATTTGTTTCAATGCTATATTTCTTACACTTATAAGCAATATAATTCTTAGTTACTTTAATTTGCTTAGAAATCTGTTTTTGGTGTGTTGCAGGCTGCAGATGGTTTCTTATTTGTAGTGCAATGTGACTCAGGAAGAATTGTCTATGTCTCAGATTCTATTACACCAGTTCTTAACCAAAGTCAGGTAAAATCCCATGGATGCATATATTGGTATTTATTTTTTAAGATTCAAACTGAGCAATTGGTTTATCCTTAATAAAAAGTATCTGTTTAGGGGCCATCCATAAAAGACGCCCACCAATTTTTTGGTATTTTCACCCCCCCCCCCCTCCTTGTGGACGTCCAAAACATAAAATTTACCGAACTTAAATTAATGAATATTTTTGGAAAATGTACAACAATATAGAGTATACATAATTGGTTTATCCTTAATAAAAAGTTTTTGTTTAGGGGCCAACCAAAAAAGACGCCCACCAATTTTTTGGTATTTTCCCCCCCCCCCCCCCCTTGTGGACGTCCAAAACATAAAATTTACCGAACTTAAATTAATGAATATTTTTGGAAAATGTACAACAATATAGAGTATACAAAGATTTTTTTTAGAAATTCCAATTATTTGCAGGCAAAATTCTAAATGAAATAATAACTGTTTAAAAACATTTTATTGAATCACTGTATTAAAAAATGTAATAAACAAATAATCCACCATTCTTCAATCAACGGAAAATTCGGACTGCAGCCATTCAAACATGTTTCGTATAAACACAACATCTGTTCTTGAGTCTTCAATTGCTAATTCAATTTGAGTGGCAATCTCTTCGTCTGATTCGTCTGCCATATTATGTTCACTAGTAGGAATATTGCAATGGACGACCTTATGTTTTTTCATTGCCGCCTGTGATGGGAAATATTTACCGCAGAAACATATTCTCTTGGAAATTCTCCCAGCCACCGATGGACAACAGAGATCAAAAGGCATGCTACTGTAACTGTGATCGGGCTCCAGACCAATCAGTGCAAGCCTCTGGAACAGTGATCCATAAGTACCACTACTACTACCAATAGCTGCAGCCATGACGCCTGCTTCATGACTAATAAAAGGTACCGGAGCTGGAATGAAGCGTTTGGGAAATAGTTCATTATAGTTGGTTCGTCTTGCTCCGCAGCATGTTACATCATTACATTTGATGATCTGCAGAAAATATTGAGACTGTTGCACATGATTCCAACACCAATTCACAGAGGGAGACGGAAGATTTGTGCTTGTGCTGCTTGGTTCAACATACTGTGCATGCACATTATAGCCATCAATGACAGCCTGACCCCAAACTTCAGCGAGTATTTCCCCTGCCTTTTTAAAGTTTGCTTTTTCTAAGTTTTGGTCTATAGTTTTACCATTTGCGTCCAAGTGGGATCCAAAATGATCATGGGGAAGAATGAGGCCTGACAGGTCATGAGACAAAGGGGCCATTCGTCGTTCTACCTCATTGTAGGCACTGTGACCCGGAGCATGAAACGCTATAAAGAAAGCATCAAGATTCTGCTTGGTAAACAATTAATATGCAGCATTCAATGTTTTTGGATAACCTGGGTTCTCCTCTGGGCCTCCGTCAACGGTAATAATAACTATAGGCTTTACTAGTCCACCATATGTACATGCCACATTCTTGAAAATATCAAGAGAGACAACTACATCAAAATCTGCAACATGTGATGCAGCAGTACTGGAATCATGTTTACCACTCTTTATTGATATGGATGTTGGTCCGGAATAGGTCACACGACCATCCTTAATAATACATGCAGCATAAACTGAAGGTATTAGTTTATGCTTATCTGCCACAACCCAATCGTAGTCAGGCAATTGTATACGATATTCCAGATACATTAGAAGTGGTGCCTGCTTTGATGCAGCTGGAAAACCCAAAGGAGCTCTACTAGCCTTGTCGTCTTGTCTAAGAAAGAATGTGCACTGACTGCCCATCAATACTGCCAAATCTTTCAAATAAGCTAAATAATGCTGCAAAATGGCATCTATGTGCTCTTTGCGCAAATTGTTGGCAGCTTTTATAAGTTTCACCGGAACGGTAGTTATGTGCCGCTTACCTTCAGCAGTCATGTAGTTGCGTGGTAGAAGGCGAAGATAAGTTGCAGATCGGCTTAGGTTGAAACCAAGACTTAACAGCTCTGAATGTAGATCATCAAGTGTTTTACATGAACGGATCAATTCGGTGCGTCGGCGGCCATCAGCAGCTCCACTCGCAGACACAATGTCGACAATTGAGTTCAGCAAGTCAGATTGATCAGTTTCAATGCTAGGCCAACCAAGCTTTTTCCTAGTGCACTTTTTGAGCCTTTTTGCAGCAGTGGGATTTTCTGTTACAAGTATTTGCAAAGCTTCTTTCATGTCTACTTGGGCTGAACGTTTTCGTTTTCGGTCAAATGAAAGGCGATGCAACTTCTGTTTCAGTTTTTTCATTTTTTCTTCGAGTTCATTTCCGTTCTTTTTCATTTCATCTGTCCACAAACTAGTTTGACGAATTGCTAGCAAACCAGATAGTTTTGAATTTGTCAAATTTAACTCCTCTTGAGCTATCATGGCTGGTCTTTTTTTTTCAACTTTAAGGGCATTGCATTGATCCGTTTCATGCTCGTTATTCTTGCTCAATGACTCATCTAAGTTGTCTTGATTGTCTGTCTTCCCATTTTCGGCTCTGAACAGGAAACAAGGTATTTTCGATAAAGATAAAAATAAGAAATTAATATAAAAATCAATTGATATACATAATATTACGCAATATAAAACTACAACTACATATATGATTGAAATATCGCAACACACTAAAACATAATACAAAATAAAATTTTTAATGCATTTTAAACTGACTGTTATTTGCAGGTACATTAACATTATCTATCATTTAATGAGCAAATTAAGTTTTTAAAAAATTTCTTACTGATTTTACATTTAAAAACATTTGACGGGATAAAATTCCCATACAGAAAAACATTTGCTTTTGCTTGCTATTAATAATCCAATGGTCTACACTACACTACATCTACCTACAACTACAAGGCTTGAACATAATGTAAGACTTAAAGTGGCTTACTTTGAATTTGCTGATATTACATCATAATCACAAGATTTCGAGTTACCAGATGCAGTGGCTGAATTGCTAGAACTTTTAGCAGTTGCGACATTGCTCCACATAGATATTAGTTTGCTACACCTTCTGGCAACAATAGCCTTGAATTAACAATGTTACACTTGATGTCATCATTATTACGTTTACATTCGTTCCAAAGTTTTTGCAAATTCTGATACGCTAATTCTTTTTTTAAATCAGGATAGGCAGAAATATACGAACCTTTAAATTCTAAATAAAATTTTTCCATTATGGCCGAACGCATCTACTGTCTACCGCATGTTTTTGTTTCTTTTTTATTGGTTGATTGTGAATAGGTCAAGGTCAAAGGTATTAGCGACGCATATTTTAATAAAATTTACATATTTTAAACCCTGGATGTTTATTTTAGGCCTGCTTTTTACAATCTTTTTTAATAAATCATGTCTAAATTTTGCCTAATTTGTTTAATAAAAAAATTTGTTTTTTAGATTAAGATTGTATTTTTAAATTTAAATATATTTTTACATTTTTTCTGAAAATAATTTTTTGTCCTTTATCTAATTTTTTAAATAAAAAATAAAGTCAAATTCAAATATTTCAGTCATTTTTTTACCCCAACACAAAATAAAAATCATTAAAGATTTTCTGGAAAAACTAAGAATTTTAAAAAACTGTTACCGGTATTTGAGATTTTATTGTATTTGACAAATCAAACTTTAACAACATATTTTTAAAATAATATTCAATTAGTAATATTGAATAAATAGTTTCTAAATTTAACCACTCAGTTGTTAGGGTTTTGCATCCCAACTCTTTTGTCATTAAACTAGAAGTTTTTTGCAGTAAATTTATGGAAAACTGCTTCACTCAAAAAAACACTACAATGTGGACATCCTCTTTGTCCTAAACCCCCTCCCCCCCTTTGTCCACTTTAGTCCACTTTTTGCTGAACCCCCCCTCCCCCCTTTTGTGTGGAGGTCTTTTATGGATGACCCCTTACCTATGTTGTTATCTTTGCTTTGATTCAGGTTTAAATAATAAATATTAAGGAACAAGTTTGTAATAGAACTTGACATAGTAATAAATTATCTGGAAGAAAACTGTTATCTTTAAATTATAAAATAATTTTTATGATTAACTTTTGAGGAGCATTGCATTTAACTTAAAGGTTGTATCAAATTGGGAAATTATTTTAAAATGTTAATTCCTTTTATTTTTGGTCTTTGAAATATTTCTTCAAAATTCAAAGGAAGCAATGCACTGCAACATTGAAGTATTTATATCCTCACAGGGTGATCTATTTGGTACTACTTTGTATGATCTCACTCATCCCGATGATGTAGAAAAAGTCAGAGAACAGTTGTCCACCTCAGAGTCACAAAACACAGGCAGAATTTTAGATTTAAAGAGTATGTTTAGTCTCAATTTAAATAGGATACAATAAATCTGGGTTTAAAAGGGGGTGGTACAACATTCAAATATTTTTATAGTTCAGGTGAATAAAAAATTTAATGATGGCGTACATTGGTGCGGGGTAGCACTAATTGGGATTCTTATAAATGATTTTTTTATGTTTTGTAAAGTAACTTTAGTAAATGAGAAGTTCATGCATTGTCACCACCATTGTTTGGTGGCGAAAACTAGAAAATGAAGTAATTACTATGACTAAAAAAATTCTTATTTGAAGACTTAAAGCTATACTCTAAGCATTTAGGAATTTCTTGAAGGAAGAATATTTTCAAGCTTATTTGCTTTTTAACACGATACATAAATGATATAACAAAATCTTGCGAATAAAACTGAGTACTTTTCCTTGCAGCTGGTACAGTGAAGAAAGAAGGTCATCAATGTAAGTACTTTGTATTTTCTCTGTGCATCCCCAACACTTTTATATATTAAAGGGGTTCTGAAACTTTTTGTAGCGCCACAGTACCTCTTAATTTTAAAAAATATTTTCTGCGCCTCATCTTAATTTCAAAACATACTTCCTGCACCCTATGATTAAAAATGCAAACAGACCTGATTTTCATTTTCTTTCCACACCCCCTGACATTGCTTTGAGAACCCCTGATATACTACAATATTATAATTTTTATAATGTCCATGGCTGTTTTTCTCTCCGTCCTTTTTGATTTAAATAAAGGTTAAATAGAAAAAAAAGAAGGAAAATAAATGAAATATAAAGGTGAATTTGCAGCAGTTAGATAAGTGCACATGGTTCTTCCTTTCTTGAATGACTTAATGCTGACACTGTCTGCCTAGAAGCTTTAGGTTGAGTTTGTCCGGTATCATCTCTGAATATAAGTACATAGCGGGATGGAATGGACTATTTAAAGCAGTAAAGTAACTGTTCATTAGGAGGAGGGAACCCTTGAGAAAAAAAACAACTTCTTTGCACGCTAACCAATTAAAAAAATTTTGCTGAAGAACTGTGTCATCTGGCACATAACACTGTATTAATCTTAAACTGTGTCACCTGGCACATAATACTAAATGTATTAATCTTACAATTTAGTTGCAGCTACTGGTTAAAAATAGAATGATGAGATTTAAAACTTATATGTTAAATGCTTTACAGTGTGCAATATCAAGAGTAAATCTGTTTTTCACAGCATCCATACGTCTTTGTATGGGATCTCGAAGAGGCTTTATATGTCGATTACGAATGGGTAATATGCAGTCAGATCCAATGACAGCCAACCACACTGTACGAATGCGACAAAGAAACACATTAGGACCTGCATCTGATGGGAATCATTATGCTGTTGTTCATGTCACAGGCTATATTAAGAATTGGCCTCCATCAGGTTGGTATGCTTCTATATTTATTACAGTTGATGGAGAATGAAATTTAACTTATGAATATTTAGATGACTTACAGCTTAAGCTATGTTTAATTAGTATTTTCACTTTAATTAAGTTATGAGATATTAAAATGTTTGGCATAAATTTATATCAATTTTTGGGGGGTTATTTTCTTTGGAAATATTTTATGATTTAAATAATTTTTATGCAAGTCATTCTGTTGCATTGATAACAGTCTTCTTTTAAACATGCTACGCTTAATGGTCATTATAAATATTTCAGCTGGAGTACAAATTGACCGCTCAGACTCTGATGAACATGGAGGAAGTCACTGTTGTCTGGTAGCCATTGGTCGGCTTCAGGTTACCAACACACCTAACTGTAGTGATATCATGGGGCCCAACCAACCTAGTGAATTTATCTCAAGACACAGCATGGATGGCAAATTTACATTTGTTGATCAGAGGTCGGTTTATAAAACTTATAACTCTTATATATATAGATATTACATTTAAAAAAGTTATATATTTGTAATTATCATATATTCAACAACATGAAATTAACTATTGAAATGTGTTATATAATGGTTATTATTGAAATATTGTAACCAGACTAATTTTTTTTAGAGTAACAGCTGTTCTTGGGTACCAACCTCAAGAGCTACTAGGAAAACTAGCATTTGAGTTTTATCACCCAGAGGATCAGACACATATGAAAGAAACATTTGAACAGGGTAAATATTTTTATTAAGTGAGATCTTGATTTAAATGTTACAAGATTGTTCAAATCAATTCAATATTTTGTTTGTAGAATTTCCGTGGATAAAAAAAAAAATATTAAAATATAACTTAAATTGTATTACTTATAAAACTTATATTTTTACTTATCATTTCTTGTTTTAATTAGTAGTTATCATGATTTCTCCTCTTAATAATTAACACCACCATTTAACACTTTCCACACACCAGTACTGAAGTTGAAAGGTCAGGTCATGTCCATCATGTATCGTTTCCGAGCATCTAACCGGGAGTGGGTGTGGCTCAGGACAAGCAGCTTCAGTTTCCAGAATCCTTACACAGATGAGGTGGAGTACATTGTTTGTACAAACACACTTGTCAAGTAAGTCTACAAACATTTTCTATCTTTCAGTCTGCTTTTTAAAAAAATGCTTAGGACTATTATATCAACTTCTTTAAATAACTTTTGTTTAAAGATTAAGTTTTTTTCAGAATAAAATAAATAAATAAATAAAGCTAGTATTTAGTTACGGCATGTCTCATCTTTTGGAAAGATATCTAATTTTTTAAAATGCTGTAAGTTTGGCTTTGATTTCATTTCAGAAGTTCTCAACAAGGGCAGATTACACCAATCCATAACCAGGCAGATCAAGCATCAGATGGTGCCATGACAAGCATTCCTTCATACCAAGGTGCAGCTAGGGCACTGCAAACAGATCCAATGGGTTTAGGTAATTAAGATGATAATCATGATTGTACTGCTGGTTATAGGTGTCAAAATACTTTTTAAATAAAAACTCTGTATTTTCTCAATTTACTCTTTAGCTTTTTAGTTTTTCCTTTCACTTTTTAAAATAATTTTTAGCTAATTTTTTTTTTATTGTCATAATATTATTATTTTACTTATCTAAATCAATTCTATTTTTAATAGGTGCAGCAGCTGGTGCTAGCAAACCTTCAGATTACCCAACAGACTTTTATCAGCGTCCACCCATGCAGCAGGAAGTTTATCCTGGCTACCAACCAACTGGTGGCATGAAGTACCCCGTCCATCCCTCAGGCACCCCACCTCAAGTCATGGGCGGCATGGGAATGAGGCGCAGTCCAGCTCAGACCACCCCGGGGAGTTGGGCACACCAAGGGACATTTGCCAGAACTGATGTGATTTTAACTAAATTTTTATTCTTGATGTTAATCATCAATTTGAGAAGGACATTACTAACAGAAATAATAAATATCTTTTTTAAAATGGTTTTAAGATGTGAATGTAATGTATAGCTTAAGCAGAACTGTTCTGTGTAACGCCTTAGGTTGAGCAATTAGAATAGTACACGATTTTTGTATTGTAAAACTGGTAAATGAATGTTTTATTCTCTCAGGTTACTGCTGATTATGGGGCATCTGCTGCTGGACATAGTCACTACAATGCAATAAGTCCAGCCAACAATGGCACAGGTAGGGTCAAAAAGACATTTCATAAAGCTAAGTAGAAGTAAAAAAAGGTGGTAGAAGGGCAACTCAAAATGTCTGTTTTTATGCTCACATTTGACCTAAATAATGTGTAGTAATGGTTTTCTTTATGTTTTCCTCCCCAGGCTCCATGTGGCCACAGCAGTGGCAGGCTGCGGATGTAACCTCCCAACAACAGCAGCACAACCCACAGCCCCAGGAGGAGTTCAGTGACATGTTTGGAATGCTTGGCCCACCTCCCAGTGAATTCAATGACTTGTCAGGAATGTTCACCAACTTCACAGAGTAACTCTACCTAAACATGGCACAGAGGAACATTGCTATGAAATTAATGGCAAAAATCTATTTTCTAAGGATTTTTTGGTGATTCTGATAAAAAATTCTCTTTTTTTCCGATAAATCGTTCAGGAAATTGTAATGTTTCTGAGCAAAGATGGCCATCAAATTTCAAGTTTTACCATCTGCCAGCAGCAGTCATTCAAATTTTGCATTTTTTATATTTAAAAGTAAATTATTTCCACTTAAAAATAACTAATTGGAGTGGTTCCCAATTTTGTCAGAGGCGGTGGACCTCCTGAAACCACTAATACTTGACAAAACTAATTAGAAGGGAAATAACTTTCACAGAGATTTCTAGCAATAACGATAATTTTTCTCTTGGCAAAAATTGATGTTAAATGAGAAAAAAATGTAAAATTTTGAAAAATAATCAATTTGTTACACAGCACATTTTTGTTTGCAAGGACACATAAGTTGAAATCTTGTTATCAAAAGTTACTGTTTGGTCTACATCATATTCCCCCCCCCCCCACACACATATGTTAACAAAAGTTACTGTTTGGTCCACATCATATTCCCCCCCCCCCCCACACATATCCTGTATGTACATTTATGGAACAGTTACAATTTTGGCATAGATGTTTGTACTGTTCATCTTGATGTGGCAGTGAGTCAAAAGAGGATTTATTGGCAATTTTTGTGTGTTGAAAATATAACTTCAAATGTGTTTTTGACATCTTAATATGTTGTTAACTTCTAACACGGTCATTAACATCGGAATTGATATGAATTATCTTTTCACTGTTTACTTTGTGTTTTCTCTGAGAACAATGAATGCTACTTTCAACTGATTTTTACATTTCCAATTGACCAAGAAAAGAAAGATACTTGATTGATGTTAATGTGATTTAGTGTACATCTTTATGGCTTGGTTTTTATTGTGGTTTGTCATTCTCACCTATTTATTATTTAGATTGCCTTACCAAGCCTGGCTGGCACGAGCCTAACTTGTACATAGAGTTTGTCAAAAATACTTTTGCCAGATCTGGTCATTGGGCATTCATGTAAAATTTGTGCTTGTATGAAAAGGAGTGTGTTTTCATTGATGTCAATGATTGCAAGATTGTTTTACCTCATCAAAGAAAGTTGAGCCTTTTAGTTTCATGAAACCAGTCGCTATAAAATGACTTGACTCTGGTCTTGTCATTATAATAATAAAAAAAATTGTTGACAAAGTTATTGTAGAGAACTTGTATGTACAGATGTATAGAATATGACTGTAAAGGTCATCATTGTAAAGGTCATAGCTCTATAGTTCAAGACTGTACATGTCATTGCCAAAGGTCATGGCTTTATTGAATGTACATATTCAGCTAATAGTTAAAAGGTGAACTTCATACCTCTTGGCTAAATAATGAGATTAATTAATTGTTAGCCTAATAAAAAGGGTTTTATCAAAGAACTTTAAATTACTGTCAGTAATAGAATTTTGTCCAGTATTGGCCAGCGGTCTTTGTAATTTGTTGATGGTTGGCAGGCCAGTAGCTGTTTGGCAGGTCAGAGTAGATGGCATATTATCAAATTTAATTTGTATTTTACTAAAAATTTTATAAAAATGGAAATAGTCATAAGGGGCAAACACTCAAAATACTCTCCCCATATCTAGTTTTTTTTAGCTTGTTAGATAAGAGTACTCTCCCACATCTAGTTGTAAAGCTTGTAAGATAATTACAAGATAAAATAATTTTACCACAGCATGACAGGTTCACCATATGTAGAAAATGGCAAATGTAACAAAGTGCCTACTATTCTCTGTTTCTATATTATTATGTAAAGGTAATTTCTTTTTTGTATTTGCCATAATTGACAAATGCTGTACAGAATTGTAGAAGAACTAGTTAAGAAAAGCAATGACCTTTTGAGAAGTTTGTAAATAGATGTACTATTACTATAATTATTTAAAGTTTGAAACTGCCATAGTATTTGAGAATGTCTGCTTTGAAGCATGTCTTATTATTTCATGATGAATTTGTCTTGATCACTTTATTGATGCTTTTTGTTCACGTTCGTGAGATAGTGGTTTTGAATGTTTCAAACATTTCAGAAAAAGATTTTCAAAAACTAAGTGCCAGAAATTATTATTTCATACTCTCTAAGAAATGTTTTTTTTTTAAGCTGTTCAATGACAGTTTTACTTTAAAATATAAGTTTGTTGTAAGTTGTGTATTGATATTTTCATTTTGTCTTACAAGATGTACACACATGTTTGACAATAAAATATGGGTAAACGTATGTCATGAATTAATCTGTGATTTCACTTATTTTATCATTGCTTGTCAAATTATGTTGTAAACCCTTTACCCTTTGACCTCCAACAGCAGTGATCCTACAACAAGCAATCAGTAAGGTAAGAGTTGATCAATATCAGGTTATTGTTCTAAAATAGTCTTGAGAATGGAATGGCAACTTGAGAATGGAATACGGAATGGTAACCCAGACATGTTAAACTCATATGGTTCTGGCCTACAATGTACAATTTTAAGAAACCGGGTTGAAAATTTATACATTCCGGTAGTTTTTTTTCCAATTAAATTTTAAAAAATTAATTAAAGAGTACATTATTAGGGTGTTAAGTTATAACTTTTACAGACAGCCGGGAATGGATTGAGAAATACGATTGTTTGGGGAGGGACCATCTACAATTATATTAACCTGAGAATGGAATGGTAACTTGAGAATTGAACGTCAACCAGTGAATGGAATGGTAATCTGAGAATGGAATATCGAAAGGTTACTGGAGAATGGAATATGGAAAGGCTACTGGAGAATGGAATGGTAATCTGAGAATGGAATATGGAAAGGTTACTGGAGAATGGAATATGGAAAGGCTACTGGAGAATGGAATGGTAATCTGAGAATGGAATAAGGAAAGGCTAGTGGAGAATGGAATGGTAACTATTTCAGGGCTGATGTTTTAGTATTGTGCAGTGGCTAAATAGTGTTGAGAATGGAATGGTAACCAACATTTCAGGGCTGATGATTTAGTGATAAGCAGTGTTTCCCAAAATGTGTGCAACAGCGCCACTGGGGGAGCCACAGTTGCCTCCCAGGTTTGTCGCAAAATAAAACAAAATTTTGATAATCGTTGGACTTTTGTCTAGCATCTGTACGTTGTAAACAAAGATGGCAGCATGGGATTTACTGCCTGTTTGGTTATCATTAAACGATAAATATCCTCTTTGTGAGTGGTGAGGCTCGGAGCATTGTAATCCCATTTACGACTTCATATTTTGGACGGTGGCCGTGAAGAAAACAAATTATCACTTTAAAAAAAAATCAGCATTGAAACACTTTATATTAACTGTGCTTTTGCTCATGTGCTTCTGGCTGGCAAAATTGTCGGACCCACTTCCCGTCAACCTATCGAGCTGAAAATTGGCACATAAACTCGTTGCCGATGACAACACATTAACACAATCTATCAAATATGCAGATCCACCCCCACCCCCCCATACTTTTTTCCTGTTTTTAAAAGCGAAGAGGAAGGAACTGTGACAACAATGATTTCACGAAATAAAATTCCTGCGGTAAAGGAGATGTTTAAAAACAAATCCTTCAAGTGCGCTCAGTTCGTTATTTACTTTCTTTTCTTTCTCTTAAATAGTTGGTGGAAAAAATTTGCGGTGTAAAAGTGGGTGGGTCATGAGAATATTTATAGAGTTCAGGGGCGTGAAGAAAAATTGCAGTTGAGAGCCTGGGGACTTTGTTGGGGGGGGGGAGGAGGGGGGCACTAATTGGGATTCTTATAAAGTGAGTTATTTGTAGACACGTTTTGTCCAATTTTAAGCCTCGCCCACCCCTTTGCTTGATATTATATTTTATAAAGGATTTAAACGAAATACTTTGCTTCTTTGCGGTCGTTGTTTTATTTGTTAGTTCCAACCGAGAGTGAACGTGTCGAGTCTGATCCAGAGGTTTGACGGATTTTGCTGTGCTCAACCAACTTGGGGTCATTGTTTTATTTGTTAGTTCCAACTGAGAGTGAACGTGTCGAGTCTGATCCAGAGGTTTGACGGACTTTGCTGTGCTCAACCAACTTGGGGTCGTTGTTTTATTTGTTAGTTCCGACTGAGAGTGAACGTGTCGAGTCTGATCCAGAGGTTTGACGGACTTTGCTGTGCTCAACCAACTTGGGGTCATTGTTTTATTTGTTAGTTCCAACTGAGAGTGAACGTGTCGTGTCTGATCCAGAGGTTTGACGGACTTTGCTGTGCTCAACCAACTTGGGGTCATTGTTTTATTTGTTAGTTCCAACTGAGAGTGAACGTGTCGAGTCTGATCCAGAGGTTTGACGGATTTTGCTGTGCTCAACCAACTTGGGGTCATTGTTTTATTTGTTAGTTCCAACTGAGAGTGAACGTGTCGAGTCTGATCCAGAGGTTTGACGGACTTTGCTGTGCTCAACCAACTTGGGGTCATTTTTTTATTTGTTAGTTCCAACTGAGAGTGAACGTGTCGAGTCTGATCCAGAGGTTTGACGGACTTTGCTGTGCTCAACCAACTTGGGGTCATTGTTTTATTTGTTAGTTCCAACTGAGAGTGAACGTGTCGAGTCTGATCCAGAGGTTTGACGGACTTTGCTGTGCTCAACCAACTTGGGGTCGTTGTTTTATTTGTTAGTTCCAACTGAGAGTGAACGTGTCGAGTCTGATCCAGAGGTTTGACGGACTTTGCTGTGCTGAACCAACTTGGGGTCATTGTTTTATTTGTTAGTTCCAACTGAGAGTGAACGTGTCGAGTCTGATCCAGAGGTTTGACGGACTTTGCTGTGCTCAACCAACTTGGGGTCGTTGTTTTATTTGTTAGTTCCGACTGAGAGTGAACGTGTCGAGTCTGATCCAGAGGTTTGACGGACTTTGCTGTGCTCAACCAACTTGGGGTCATTGTTTTATTTGTTAGTTCCAACTGAGAGTGAACGTGTCGTGTCTGATCCAGAGGTTTGACGGACTTTGCTGTGCTCAACCAACTTGGGGTCATTGTTTTATTTGTTAGTTCCAACTGAGAGTGAACGTGTCGAGTCTGATCCAGAGGTTTGACGGATTTTGCTGTGCTCAACCAACTTGGGGTCATTGTTTTATTTGTTAGTTCCAACTGAGAGTGAACGTGTCGAGTCTGATCCAGAGGTTTGACGGACTTTGCTGTGCTCAACCAACTTGGGGTCATTTTTTTATTTGTTAGTTCCAACTGAGAGTGAACGTGTCGAGTCTGATCCAGAGGTTTGACGGACTTTGCTGTGCTCAACCAACTTGGGGTCATTGTTTTATTTGTTAGTTCCAACTGAGAGTGAACGTGTCGAGTCTGATCCAGAGGTTTGACGGACTTTGCTGTGCTCAACCAACTTGGGGTCGTTGTTTTATTTGTTAGTTCCAACTGAGAGTGAACGTGTCGAGTCTGATCCAGAGGTTTGACGGACTTTGCTGTGCTCAACCAACTTGGGGTCGTTGTTTTATTTGTTAGTTCCGACTGAGAGTGATCGTGTCGAGTCTGATCCAGAGGTTTGACGGACTTTGCTGTGCTGAACCAACTTGGGGTCGTTGTTTTATTTGTTAGTTCCAACTGAGAGTGAACGTGTCGAGTCTGATCCAGAGGTTTGAGAGACTTTGCTGTGCTGAACCAACTTGGGGTCATTGTTTTATTTGTTAGTTCCTACTGAGAGTGATCGTGTCGAGTCTGATCCAGAGGTTTGACGGACTTTGCTGTGCTCAACCAACTTGTCAGTCTCACTCATTACATGATACATGCAGCTGAATTTGTTCAATATAGTGTTGTGTAAATTTTAATTCGTTTCCCAAGATCATGAAAATATAATATGATTTTTTTTAAAAGGACTTTGGGGACTTTTTAAAAAAAAATAGCATGAGTTTTGGCCCTGAATGACGTAGTAAATACCACAAGATCTTGGGAAATTTCCCAAGGTGTGGTAACCCTATCCCCAACAAACTTAACAACCTAAAAACTTAGTGATTTGAAGGTTAGAATCGTTGAGTGAGCCTTAGAATAAATAGCCCTTTGTGTACAATATGTCACCCATTGTATACCAAGAGTCGCCCATTGTATACCAAGAGTCGCCCATTGTATACCAATGGGCGATTCTAAGTGCATAATTACAGGTCTTAAATACATTGACCTCCCGGCCTTCAATAAATTATTGCCATAGTTGTACCGTGGGCTTATTCTAACAAGAAGAAATCCATCGTGGAAGTCGGGGGTGGGGGTGAAATTATGAGTTTACCGCACCTGATGATACCAACTCTGGCTACGCCACTGTTTCATACATTACATAGTACATAACTAGGTGCTGATGGAGAAATGTGCTGTGTTTGTTATAAAGCTAGGCGCTGATTGAGAAATGTGCTGTGTTTGTTATAAAGCTATTGGCTGATTGAGAAATGTGCTGTGTTTGTTATAAAGCGAGGTAGTGATTGAGAAATGTTTTGTGATTGATATAATGCTATGTGCTGGGTGGCCGAATGGTCTGAACTGAGCAAAGTTATTGGTCAGGAGTTCAAATTCCAGCCAAAAGCAGAGTCAAGCAAAAACATCCCCGAGTGGATGGGACTCGTTAACCTTGGACGGGAACTCATCTAAGAGAAGAGAACTCTGAATTAAAACCCGTAGACCAGTGGTTCTCAACCTTTCTAGAGCCGCGACCCTTTAACATAGTTTCTCGTGTCGTGGCGACCCCCAGCCACACAATTATTTTCGTTGCTACTTCATAGCTGTAAGGATATGTGTTTTCAGATGGTCTTAGGCGACCCACAGGTTGAGAACCGCTGCCGTAGACGGATAACATTGGCACGATGAAACATTCCGACAACTCCTGCGACGCCACTGGTGCCAAGCTGTATCATCCATATGATGTTCCCTTGGGTTATCCAGCGGCGTCGAGAGAGGCGATTTGCTGTTGGGAACCGGCTTATAATCCTAGAAGAATAATCCCAGGATCGTCCTGCGAAGTCTTCACCATCGTCACATTGTGCCGGCAAAGCTTGGTGCTGATTTCAAAATGTGCTTTCATATAAAGCTAGGTGCTGATTGAGAGTTTGGCCGTGTTTGATATAAAGCTATAGGTGTTGACCGAGATTTCGGTCATACTACCATCTATGAATGTCATACTTCTATCAGTAAGGTAACGTGTGGCATCGTGCTTTCCTAAGTTGCCCCCCCCCCTCCCCCCACCCTGCAACAAAAAAAAAAAAAAAAAAAAAAAAATAAAAAAAAAAAAAAAAAAAAAAAAAAA